ACCAGCCGCGGGCGCAGCAGCTGGCTGAGAGTGACCGTCACAGGCGGCATGAGCGTAAGCAGATACAGTGCACTGGGCTCCCTGCCAGAGGTACCTCGAATCATCCGTCACCTCGACACTTGACGTCTCCAGAGTTAAGCACCTCTGGTCTTTCTGCTTTCCGCTTCTTTCTTTGCTCCTCACCCCCCGCCCTCTTCTTCTTCTTCTTCTCTCTGCCTCTTGTGTCTGGTCAGGGACTTGGCCGGAACGCTCACCATCCACTTCGTACTCTGTTTTATTTTCTGCTTCTTTCCCCTCCGACGTATCCTGGCCCACCCTTGTCCCAGCTTGCTTCCGCCGCCGCTTCTTTGAACCTACTTTCCTCGTCCCGGGCCGCTTATGCGTCTTCAACTGGCTCCTAATATCTCCACGCCGCCCACCGACCTTTGTTCATCATGAATAAATTGGCGAACGTGCGACACTGGTCCGAGAGGATGAGTCCCAATTTTGGGATGGGCCGACCCAACATGCCCATGAACGGCCTCAATCCCCATCCCAAGAACGCCGCCCAGCCCGGACCCTCGATTAGCTCACCGCATGCCGCCGATACAACGATCCAATGCTGTTTCAACGTCCCGTTCTCCTCGGACCTTGCTGGCCCCAACACTGAGGACATTCTCCATGCAACCACAGACGCTGTCCTTCGCTGGACGCACCCGGAAGACGCGCCCGACGACGTCCAGGTCCACGAATTGCCCGCCCATGCCGAGGGACTCAATAGCCTGCGAAGACTGTGTGGGGAGCTGTCTAGCGGACCTCTCCCGGTTGAAGCATACGTTTTGTGCACGTCCACCGGCAGCCCAAAGGGCCAGCAGATCGTCACAGTTTGTCTGACTGGTTCGCCTGATCTGGTCCACAAGAGCCGAGAGGCCATCTACAACGACACCCCAATCTCACTGGTACGATTGAGCTCAATACTTGTATACTTCCCACCTCCCTATAGTCCGAATTCTGATTGAGTGACAGCGCTGCACTACGATTGATGTTGATGGTAACCTTGTCTGTGATCTCGACGCTGGAAAACTGCGAGATTCGGTGACGGAAACGCTCGATTACATCTCGGCATACTGCGGAGTCGACATCTTCTTGCTTGGCCCCAAGCTTACGCCCATGGTCGATGGAATGAGCGGGGATGCAGAAACCCGAATGGATCAGCGGTGGAGAGTTGCAATCTATGGTGACCCTCTCTCCTCCGAGCATGCTAAGGCCAGGGTCCTGATCCATATTGATTCTCTGGTAAGGGTTTATATCGTGGACAGTCAATCTTGCATGCATGATGTACTGATGTGAATCTAGCTCGGCCGCTTGGCTGATACCGTGAAAGTCGACCAGTCCTTGCATCAGATCATCTGCGGTCGCCACAGGAAAAACATCAAGCTCATCGAGTCATCCACCGGCACAGCGATCTATTTCCCGCCGTTATTCTCCCAAATGTATAGATATTGCCCGCCGAACGCAAGCCGACGTGATCCCAACGATATTTTCATTACGGGAGAATCCCCTCAGGCGATCCGATTGGCGAAGGAGAAGATTCACGAGACGGTCACCAGGATTCGCTTGTACATCAAAGATGTTACAATCCCTGCCGCCAAGATTGACAGCATTCTGCTTGACCGAACCGACAAAGTCCGCAAAATTCTCGAAGCCAACGGCACTTACATCATGTTCCCGGCCCTGGGCACGCAACGAACCACCGTCCGTGTGCAAGGAAACGAAGGTCTCCCTGTCGAGCGAACAGTCCGAGAGCTCATGACTTTGGTGAGTTCCATCTTATGGTGGTCTATCTTCCTGTTGTTTTCAATTGCTGAGCTCTAACTTCTTCACTCTTAGGCTGGCCAATTCTACGCCGCTGGCTGGTATATCCAGCTTGAACCTAGGCAATTGCCAAACCCAACAGACCTCAGGACCATGCTCAGCGAAATCTGCGCGAACTCTGGTGCTGATGTGGTTTTTGACAAACTTAGCTTCAATTTCACGGGATCCGACGACTCTGTGAAGGCTGCTCTCTCCGTTCTCTCAGAGGTCAAATTTGTTACTCACTCACAGTATCAGATTCGTGTCAAGATTGAGCTTGCCAATGAGCACAAAGAATTCGTCAGTGGCAAGAAGAATGGGAAGATCAACAAGATCATGGGCCAGAGTAAGCGAAAGTTGACGAATAATGATGGGCGAGAAGCTAACGTAGACACAGGCAATGTCCAAATCATTTTCGACGGTTTCAATGAGTACAACTTCAACATTGATGTAATGGCCGCTGCCTATGAATCCATGAAGCAAGGTCTGTCATTGGTGGAACAGGAAATGCCTGCATCAATCTCCTTCCATGTCCCGGACCAGTACCACAAGCGGATTATTGGAATTGGCGGCCAGCATATTCAGCGAATCATGAAGAAGCACTCGGTCTTCGTCAAGTTTTCCAATGCCATGGATCGAGGTAAGTGTCTTGAGTTTGCTCCTTTTCTTTTTCAACCATTTTCTAACCTCCTCTGCCAGGTGGTATGGGACGAGAGGATGATGACATCAAGGTCGACAACGTCATCTGCCGCACTCCCGCCCGTAACGCTCAGAACCTTGATGCTGTCAAGAACGAGATTCTTGAGATGGTCGACCGAACTGTAAGTCTTACTAGGAATGAGATGAAGATGTGACCAAATTGCTGACATGTTCACCGCCAGGATTCCGAATACACCTCGCAGATTGTCAATGTTGATCGACTCTACCATCGGCAGCTCATTGCTCGTTTGCCCGAAATCGACGAGCTCGAGCAAAAGTTCAACTGCAAGATTAGCTTCCCGAGCACGGAGCAAGCCAGTGATGAGGTCACTGTCACCGGTCCTCAATGGCAGGTTCCACACTGTGTTGACGAGTTCTTGGGCATGGTCCCAGACAAGCACGAACTTGTTCTTTCTTGCAATGAAGAATTGGCTAAATTCCTTGAGAGCCCTCAGTTTACCACGGAACTAGTCGAAAAACTCAAGTCGCAGTACGAGGTGGACCTCACAGCCCGCCAAGAGAAACCCGAGACACCCGACGTTGCTCCTACAGTTCAGCTCTCCTGGGGTTTTACTCGGAACAATGCAGGTGGTCTGCGAGATGCGGTTGATTTCCTCATGAGCCAGTTCACGAACTCAGGACTCGACATCACGGTTGTCAAGGGTTCACTTCCTCGCCCCAAGTCAGATTCGTTTGAAGATTCTCTCCAGTATTTTGATTCGAAACTCTTGCAACATGCTCCGTCGGTTTCAAGCGACTCGCCGGTCAAGGCTGCATTTGGTGACGAAATTGCACGTGAGCGTAGTGGTATTCTCGACCGCTTGCGAAAGCCTGGAAGCATGACCTCGATTTCATCATTCCTCGATCGACGCAAGAACAGTTCTCGCTCCCCCAATGGCAACTTCTTCAAAGGCTCGAGCAATGTGTCCAAGTCATCGCTCATCTCAATCGAGTCCGCTCGCAGCTTCAATGCGGACCGTAACCCCTGGAATGACAGCGGCGTGAATCTTCCAGATGACGACAATCCATGGGCTCCTCGACCTCTTACAAACCATGGCGACAACAAACTGGCCATCCCCATCCCTGGTGATGCTACACCACGCCACCATACCCGCATTTCTGGCGACAGCGGGCGCCCTTCTACATCTCATTCTATGAATTCAGGATACCCCGGCTCAATTGGGCCTTTCCGTTAGATCCCCCGGTTTTAGAACCCGCATGCAAATACCCCCTCCCCCGGCTGGATATACCCTGGCGTAAAGAATACCCGGCATGTCTGGCTGATACGAGCCAGCCCAAGACTGCTCTCTTGCTTGTGTTTTTGTGATTTTACGTTGGTTTGGATCTGTTTATATATTTATTGTTTTGCGAGTTGGTCTGACCAGTTCTTTTTTCCTTCTTTTCAAGGTTTTGGTTACGAAACATGGAACCTCACTCTTGATGACTGACGTTCTCCTTTTATACCCGCCTGTATCTTACGGGCCTGACGAAAAAAAATTGTGCGAATACCCCTGGCGACCGAAAACGAGTTGAAATTGAATGGGATCGAAGATAGTCAGTTATGATTTGGGACAAGATGTTGGGAAGAAGTCGGCGATTTGGCCATATGGACATCATCATGGCCACACACTATTGATACCACAAGTCGAATTTTCATCCATTTTGCATTATGTGCTTCCGGGAACTCCCTCCAAGCCGTTTACCCCGGAGGAACCATCTCTAGCATGGGCAGGTAGGTATCTGAGCAGACAGCTCAAAAGTTGTCATGCGGGAGGAACGGGATGATGTTTGAGAGGCCATCTAGTGTCGAACTATACATAGTGAAATCACAATGATACCCACGGTCACTCTCGACCGCTGACCTTCTCATTCTATTGTGTCTCTACAGTGAAAATGGGGGGACGCGTACAATGTAGAAAACTTCTATCGACTATCCTTGACTCTTCTAGTGATACGTAATGGTCCACACAGATGTTTCTTCTTGTTCTCTCTCAACCCCTATTCACGAAACAACCCACCCGCAGAACCCATTCTTGTGCTACTACCCAAATTCTAGCAATAACTGTTAAGTAACCCTGTTGCTAAGTTTCGTTTATGAGACTTGAGTCACGATGCCGAATCGAACTGAGCCAGAGGGGTAGGTAATTTACTGAATGAGCAAGGGCAGATGAGCAATGTTCTCATAAAATCTTATACACGTCCGGCTTGCTGAACGGGGATATCAGGGTAATCTATAGTACATAAAATCATATAGTAATGCCATTGCGGGACGTCCCGAACGCCTGCCTGTGCGGAAGCTTGAGGCGGTCCACATGGCTCCTAACCAACGCCTATTACCGTGCATGTAACTCAGTTTTGTGTGTGTTCTCCTCCAAAAGGGGGGGAGGGGGATGAGAGATTGTTGATGTGAGGCGAGGAGATACAAAGATGGGAAATGATTTACAGAAAAGAAGATTGAGGCTAGGGACTCATGATTCCAAGGGTCCAACTCTGACCTGCTCGCGATTGGACGGCTGCGCCAGCATTTCCTGCTTCACCTGCCGCTTCTTCTGCGCCTCGAGCCTCGCGAACTGCCCGCGGGCCCCGTGCTTGAGCTTGGTGATCATGTCGGCGGCCTTGCCCTTGCTCAGCTGCTGCACCCTGAGGGGCTTGCCCTCCCCGCGGAGCTTATTGATGAAGTCCAGCTGGCCCTGCGTCGGGGGCAGGTTGCGCCACGGCTGGCGGCGGTGGATGAAGGAGAATGGGAACGCGTGGGAGGCGTAGCTGTCCGCCCCGTGCACCGCGTCGCTGAAGGTGGCCGCGGTCAGGATCTCCCGGGGCGCTGCGAAGGGCGACTTGGAGGTGCCGGGGAGCAGGGAGCGTATCTCGACGGCCCGGTACTTCGGGGACTGCTCTCCGGAGCGGACAATGTCGTCTTCGATGCGCTCGATTCGAATATATGAGCCGCTGGGTGCCGAAAGGATGAACTTTTCGGGTCCGACTTGGACCCATGCAAACTCGCTGACGGCCCTAATGTGTCGTTCTCCGGATGAGTCTGCGATCAGATCAAGAACCGAGGAGTAATCGGTAAAGGCGACCGCGGTTGCTGCTGGGTGTCCACTGCGTGCAGCAGCCTCTGCCTTTTTCTTATCATCGGCAGTCTTGCGGCGCTGCGCCGCTATCATCTCGTCAACGTTGGCCCGATCTACGAGCAGGTTGGGATCGAGGCCAAAGAGAGTAGGCGTTGTCACGATGCCAGTTTCCAGGCTGGAAACAAAGTCGATGATGTGGCAGTTCTTCTTCCCGGCATGCAAGCGCATCCCTCGGCCGATCATCTGGACGAGGAGGTTTTTGGATTTCGTTGGTCGGCCAAGCACGATACAGTCGATATTTGGTATGTCAGTTCCCTCTGTAAACACGCCGCAGTTTAGTAGCACCGGGAACCGGCCATTCTTGAAATCCTCCAGAATCTGCCCTCTCTCAACCTTGGGTGTGTCTCCAGTGACACATCTGGCGTCAAACCCATGCTGGCGAAAGGTGTCTGTGAGGCTAGCGACATGTGCAAGGTCGACGCAAAAAACGAGAGTGGATTTCCTGCCCGCAGCCTTGGCCATCCAGCTTCGGACCGTAATGTTGTTGAGTTCGTCCGTATTGACTGCCCTGGAGAGTTCGCCTGTGGCGAAATCGCCAGTGTTGCCACTTCTAACCCTGGAAAGATTTGCGGTCGACTTCACCGTTGTAAAGACGACATCGGAGAGCCAATTGTCTGAGATCATCTCCGTATAGTCCTTGTGGTAGACAATCTCATCAATCGCGCTTCCGAGCTTCACTCCATCGAAACGAGAGAATGTTGCGGAAACGCCAACCAGGAGCGGCGAGTTGTGTCGCTTCTGCTCCAGTCCAAAGTGTGCAAGCACTCTGAGGTAGCTTGGAGAAACAATGTGGTGAGCTTCATCCACAAGCACGAGCTTGAATGATGAGGGGTCGTATTTCTCTATGCGGTCCTTTGAAATGATGCTCTGGACACTCGCGATGGTGATGTCTGCAGCCCCGGATGCGCTCAAAGAACCCATCTCAATATCAATTGACTTCTCGGGGTATGCGAGCCGGCAATGCTTTGCAGCTTGCTCGACGAGCTCACGGCGATGAGCCAGGATCAACGTTCTGCTTCCTCCATTTGGCCGATCTTGAATCTTCCCAATAAGCTGTGTGAAAATTACCTATAAGGATGTTAGTGATTGGTTCTTTGACATTGCTACCAAGTACTCATCCACTTACAGTCTTTCCACTCCCCGTCGCCAATGATACTCCCACGCGTTTGACACCACGTTTGGTAGACTTGACGACTGATTTGATGCATTCCAGCTGGTAGTCTCTCAATTCCAGCTTGGTTGGCTTCTCAGCCCCAAGATCGGGTTTGGGACTAGATACGAGTGTCGCGAAAGTGACATGTTTGTGATGGAGAAACAGGCGCTGGACAACCCCCAACCCGCACCGCTGCGGCCGAAAAAGGCACCTTGCTAGTCTAGGTATCATTGCACATAATCATAGTATGAGAAAATGAGCAGCGAGCGACGCAAATGATGAGTGTAAGGGGGTTCTACAGGGGTTCGTTCAACTTGGCTGGCGACTAAGAAAGTGTTGGTGTTGAAATTTTGGCATTTACGGATTATGTAATCATGGATGGTTGTTCACCTTCAGCTGTCGCAGGTCATAAACAGAACCTTCAAATCCTCTTACTCTCGATAATCAGATCAATAATGAGCATATAATGAATCGCAAGATATCGGTCTCTTTTGCTTTCTGATATTTTACGCACATCAAGTTTTGTAAATCTGGAGTTTGTGGCTTTCTGTGATTTCAAGCATCACACTCTGATGATGTTTTCGCCTGCCATCATTGCTCAAACATCATCCATGCTCATAGCCATCAATGAACATGGAAGCAGACGAATCCTTCAATCCTGATCAGACTGACATTCCAGCGGTCGGAACTCCGGAGCACCATGGTCAGCAACATATTACATCCCAGGAATCTGAGGCCGAGAAAGAGGAGGTCTCGCCTCTCACACGTCGACTTCTGAAGCGGCATCAAATTGACAGTGAGGTCGATGAGGATTGGAACTCTGAAGACGATTCCGACCAGTCAGCTGAAGACTTCAATTCGCTCAAACGCCCAGCTGGTGACGAGGAAGAAGTACCCAGGCCCTTCAAGCGCCAGAAAGGCACATTGAATCCCGGCTATCTTGACGTATTGAATCGAGACATAGAGGATGCCGCATATAGTGCCACTCTAGAGGACGATGATAATCTCAAGTCCTCCCAGTTAGGGCTCGTTTGGTGGACAAGAGCAGAGAAGAGAGTCTTCTATGAGGCCGTTGCAAGACTCGGGCGGGACAACCTTGAGCAGATCTCGGCTAGGATCGGGAGCAAGAGCGTTGTCGAAGTCCACCAGTACATCGATTTGCTGGAAAAGGAGCAAGAATCTCGGCGCAGGTCCAATCTGCGCTCAGTCATCGAAATTTCGGAGTACCCAGCGGCAGTTGAGCTAAGCCAGCAGTGCTGCCATGCCCTTGATGAGGCTGCCGATGCGATATCGCTAAGGCAGGAGGCTCGAGAGCAGCAGCGGGAGGAAACCAAATGGGGCGAGATTTGGAATCTGACACCGCAAATAGTGAAAAGTCTGGAAGGTGGTGCGAAAGAGCAGAATCCTGCCGATACCCAACTCGCTTCTCTCCAGCTCTTCGACGTGCCCCAGTGGCTTCAGCTCTCCCGGCGCGTCTTCATGAACTCTTCCATACCAAGTAATAACTGGGAGTACATTGACGACAACCTGCCCTCGATATGGGCCACCACCATTGAAGATTTCTACTCCCTCGCGCTATCCATAACAAGAAGGCTGGTTCAAACAACAATATTTACTAGCATGGCAAGGATCAGAGCAAGACTCGAAATGCGGCCAGAAACCCGGAACGTGATCCTGCGTAGGGATGTGGAAGTGGCAGTAGAGTCACTCGGCCTAGCTTTCAATTCCAAAGAGTTCTGGAGGAAGAGTGCAAGGAGACTACGCCTCGAGGTTTACAAGGATGCTCCTCAAGGAAATGAAGACGAAGAATCATGCCCCATGCTCTATGAAGAGGTTGAACAGGAACTGTCGGTATCATCCACAGATATACAGGTCTTGCCTGAGCCTGATAATGACCGGAAGGGTTCGGATGTTCTAGATGCACTAGACACGGACGAGTCGGACAGCGAGGTTGCATTGGGCTCATCAGATGAAGAAGAAAGGGCTGTCAAACAAGAGCTCAATGAAGTGCTCCGATTCTCTGCAGCCGACCTTCCAGAGACACTGACGTTGCGTCAGTCATTGAAAACCAGAATTGAGACAGAACGCAAACAAGAACAATACGCCGAACGTTGCGACGGGCACGAAAGCTACAAAGCTGAAATCGAACTCTGGGATCTCTTACAAGTGAAGCTCCCAATGAGTATACTCAAGATGCCAGATCCTGGACAATCACAGAAATCAACACTGGAACTAGAGAGCATGTACCCGCTAGGGAGAGACTGGAGAAGTCGCACTAAGTATTGCAGCGAATGGGAGCAGGAGTCAACTGCGAAGGATTCCTGAGCGCAGGAAACGGAATTTTGGATTGGATTTTTTTTTTGGCATTATACAATAATGATACCCTCAAGTAGCGAGAACGGTTTGAAAATATCAGAAACTCATGAATCCTGAATAATTATACATTTATTGCTATTCATTTATCCTCCGGGTATCAATGGGGTCTTTACAAGTGTCATGGTAGCTCTCGACGAAGAAATCTACCTCCCAACTCTCCTCGTTCTTCCTCTAGTTCGAGCTCGACCCCTTGATCCTCCCCTTCCAGATTTCGGTGGCTTTGTGGTCGCGCCCTTCTCTTCTTCGCTCTCATCTTCGCTTCTCGATTCGCTCTCGTCATCGTCATCCTCTTCTTCCTCCTCCCCATCCTCTTCCTCTTCCTCTTCTTCCTCAGTAGTCTCGGCCTTGTCAGCCTTGTCAGCCTTGTCGGCCTTGTCGGCCTTTTCAACCTTTTCAGCCTTCTCAGTTTTGGCCTGGCTAGCTGCCCTTGTGCGACCCCTCGAGCCCCTCGTAGAGCGCCCAGCAGGCGAGGGGGCATCTGTGGCTTCTTCCGTGTCCTCTCGGGAAGCCCCTCTGGTCCGCGACGGAGCTTCTCTGCGCGCTCTCTTCTTCGGTGGGGGTGACGACGAAGGACCAGGAGCCTCGAGGTCAAGTTCCGGCGGCGACGACGGTGTTTCGCTGGGGTCTGCTTTGGCACGCAGCATCATGAGGTCGAAGTAGTCGGCGCGCGGCAGGGAGAACTCGACATATCTATCCTCGGGCTCATCGTCGTCGAAGTTCTCCCGCTCGTCAATAATCTCCAGGTTGTAGTATGTCCGAAGCTTCTGCCATATGTAGGGGATCCGGGTGTGCTTGTACTGGTCGGGATCGAAGCCGTGGTTCCGGAGGTGCTCGGAGATGGCAATCATGCGGAAGTGCTTGTGCATGCCTAGGGGCGAGCAGAGAGGTTAGCAAAGACGTTAGGAGTAAATAGCCTCGACTTTGGCGAAGACATACCTGCCGGCTTCCAGCGTATGACGGCCTTGAATAGCGATGCGACCTGGTCGTCTGTCCAGCTGTCATTGTATTCCTGGGCAATTGGGTCAATGTCCGGGGCTTTCTTTGACGACGCCGCCTCGTCTTTTGGAGGCGAATCGATGTCCATTGCATCTTCGTTTCGGGCGGGCGTGGGCGTGGAAGATGCGGCGGTTTGTGCACCACCTCGACCCTTCTTCTTGGGAGGCATTGCCTTAGTATGGATACCTATGGACCTAAGGCAGGGTGCCTTAGCTCTAGTAGGGCTTCTTGAAATCAGGCTTGGCGATCATAAATCTTGCCACCAGAATCGGGGTGCTTCGTCAATGGTGGGACTAGTTTACAGCTGTAACAGACGGGTGGAAAGTAAGTTTGGACGTTTTCGATATGCTTAGCATCTCAATCGAGGCATGTGAAATTATTGGCGCCCGTCTCAAAGATGATGGCTTAAGTTGGCGGCTTCTATTGGCAGGTACTGGCTACTTGTAGCTATACTGTACCGGCGGGTATGGTCAAGTACCAGGTACTCGTGCCAAGTGCTTCCAAGACACGCGCGACGGAACGCGTCAGGCATCTTATCGCGGGGCAAAGGGCATCCACTGCTCAGTGCGACTGAGCAGTCAATACCACCGTCCAATCACTAGAGTTTCAAGCTGTATACTTGACTTCTTGTTGTCACCCCTGATAGAGCAGCTGGGAGTAGCTACAAAGTCCTCCAGATGCCAGCCCATAAGCAGGGCTTCAAATGCCATGGCAGGCAATAACAGCGACAGGGAGGCCGATATGTTTGCCATCCCTGAATTCTGGCCTTCATCGAAATGGCTTAAGGAGCTCCCTCGGGATGACTCCGCGCCATTCTTTTCCACAAGAATTCGCAGTAATTGGCCCTTACCTCTGACTCCATATATCTACCCATCCTGACTGAGCACCCTTCAGGAATCTCCGACGTCTCGGACCCCAATCTAGCAAAGTTCAACCTGGCAACTCCAAGCCAAGATGGCTTCTTCAAGCTTCCCGCCATTGGAAAGGAGAATGAAGAGACCACATTGAGTCATGCAGATCCTGGCGAAGTTGAGACCCAAGCAGCGGCAAGTACTACAGACTCGGATACCCACAGCGACATTTGGATGTCGCGTGAGTCCTTGGTTTCCAACTCTACGGCACTCAAAACCTGGCAGGGTTTCTTACAACAGACTCCGGCCATCGGAGAAGCGCCTCTTCTGCTCAGTGAAGCTGGGACGGGTGCTTACGACGCACTGCTAGCCTGGAAAGACGACCCTCTCAATCTAGGAAATGCCGACACGCCAGTAGTAGACCCAAACGCATATTCTGCAGCTCTACTAGCACTCGCACTTGGCAGGGAGTCGGTATTTTTCCTGAAATCCGAAACCCATCCTACCTTTCGCCCAGCCCTCCCCAGAATCAGAGCGCCAGGGTATTCTGCCAATATTCTTGATGGGGTCCAGTCGCAGTGTTTGTCAAGCGGGGAAATGACCTTGAAGCTGAACAATTTCGTGCAAACCGTCTACAAGAAGCACAACTCAAAATGCGCCGTGGCTCTTGGAAGTGTTATCAGTGAGCTTGTACGTGTGGTCCAGGAGAATGCAATCTTGGACAAACGAGTGCCGCAGTCCATCTTACAGCTGCAGTCCCTAGTCAGGGGCATAACGGCCATCCTCAGCCCGTTTTACAAACTCATCACCAGCCTCCCTCGGAACTGCGGCGATGAACAAGTTATAACATGTGTTTTTGACTATGCTTGCTCAGTTGACAATGGCGAGCAGTGGTTGCGAGAGCTCATGCAGGAAGCACTGCGCAAAATCTCAACACCGTGGATCGGATTTTTGGAGGAGTGGATAGGCACTAAAAAGGAGGAAGGGATTCCCTTGGCTAAGACTCTCGTCGGCCAGGCAAAAGGCTTTGTTCAAGTTGAGGCTGAAATCACTATGGACGACTTGGGCCAGCAGATCGAAGAGGTCGACTTTCGTCTCAAACCGGAACGAGTCCCGCATTTCATTCCTGATGATATAGTCCACACCATGTTCGAGACTGGAAGGAATCTACGCTTCATCAGATCGCACCATCCCGCTCACCCTTTGGCGAGATCAGACATCTTAAGCATCAGCAAACCTCCGAGAGCTGATTGGCTATACGATTGGGATTCCATCCTGCAACTTGAAAGCCGAGTTGAAGAGTATCGAGATCGACTTTTAGACTCTATAAAGATGGCCTCGGACATTCATAATCCTAGCCAACATGTTATTGGGTGTTCCGACGGAGCAAATACCACCTCTCCACTGAATTTATTTACATTTGGGACGAGTGGAATTGAGGAACGACTTCTAGCCTCAATTGAACATCTCAATGCTCCTATCGTTAGTCGCGATTCTGTGAGCCCCTTTGATCGGATCATTCGGGAGCGTCTCGGCAACCAAAGACAGGTAGGAAGTGGTTTGCAGTCCACACCACATTGGTCGCTACTCCCTATATTGTCATTTGGTAGCATTGTATCTACCCAAGCCCAAGTCGTCAATAGGGAAACTTTGACGCTTCTCTTCAGTAAGCATGACCTTCGAGGTCATCTCAAGCTTCAACGAGATTTTCAACTTTTAGGGAACGGCATGTTCTGCAGCCGGCTTTCTAATGCCTTGTTTGATCCCGATCTCGAGATTGCGGAGAGACAGCAAGGCGTCGCCCGCCAGGGAGGCATAATGGGCTTAAGACTTGGCGCTCGTGACACCTGGCCGCCTGCAAGCTCAGAGTTACGACTGGCGCTTATGGGTGTATTGTCTGAGAGTTTTAGTGCATTGAATCCCTCTTCAGCAAACGGGGCAACGTCAATTTCAAAGGAAACGCAAGATCTTCCTGGCGATTTGAGTTTTACTGTACGAGACTTGTCGGAAGAGGAGATCACCAAGTGTGTAAACCCAAACTCATTGGAAGCGCTGGATTTCTTACGTCTTTCCTATACCACGCCACCAGAGTTGAGCTTCATCATCACACCAATGATTCTCCTACAGTATGATCGCATATTCAAGCTCATGCTGCGCCTGCTGCGCATGTCATATGTCGTCAACAGCCTATGGCGGCTCCTGAGCAGCCGAGTATACTTCATGCACAACGCCGCATATCGCTTTGTAAGAGAGGCTCGACACTTTGTCTGCAGCATTGAGTCGTATTTCCTTGACACCGGAATCTCCAGTGCCTGGAGTAGCTTCGAAGCCAAACTGGACAAGATTCAGGCTCTTCTAAATAATGATGCTGATAGGAAGTCATATGAGAAGCTTGAAAGCCCTGAACAACTCCGCGAGTTTCACTCGGATGTGCTGCAAAGAATAATGACGGCCCTCTTCTTGAGAAAGCGGCAAGAGCCAATACTCAAACTGTTGGAAGAGATCTTTACCTCGATCATTCAGTTCTCATATCATCTCAGAACTCAAGGGGATACTGAAGATGATGATCGTCAGACGGCTGAGATGTATTCGAGATTCAAGAAGAAAGTCCAAGTATTCATCACCGTGTGCAGGGGCCTTGCCGAAAAGAGTCGAGCCACACAACCCCAGAAAGACAGCATTGGTTCGAAACACCTGGGATTTGGGGACGACAGCTCGCTTTCACAATTGCTGTTGAAGCTAGATATCAGCGACTACTATGTGAAACGGCATTCATGATTGATATGAAACGTGATACGAACAGCGTCAGAAATATACATATAGCTATATAGAACCAGTTGGAAATTATATATCCAGAAAAAACCTATCTGTTTATTCAAAAGCGACAAACAAGTTTCGACTTCATACCTACCAACTACCTAGGTACTCAGGCACAGAAAGTATAGCTGACTAAGCTATCCTGCGCACAGGTTAGATGACTCAGCGACAGTTGGGACAATGGTAGCAAAGCCTCGACCTTATTTCTACCCAGCCTGCCAGCCAAACAATGTAAAAAGAGAATAATGAATTATTCTGCGACATTTAGCTTGATTTGGTGTTTATTACTAGGTCAATTATCCTAATGTTGTGTTAAAATTTGGCACTGAACAGTTTACCTGGTTGTGCTATGTTTTATGTTAGTCACTTGCCTGTGCAGGCTTGACTACCCTCAAATATAAAGCGAATGGTACGAACGGCGTCAGCTTTTTAATGTACCGATAGTTAGATAAAACAGGTTGGAAATACATAAGGTAAGTATCCAGAACATAGCTGCCTCTTCCAAGCAGCGAACAAGTTTCGACTCCTTACGCAGGTGGGCATGGAAAGGATAGATGACTAAGCTAACCTGCGCACAGGCTAGGTGACTCAGCAGCAGTTGGGACAATGATGGCATAGCCTGTGTAGGTCTGACTACCCCATACTTGAGCAACACCCCTCATGCATCGCGTCTCCACACGCGTCGAGGGGTCGTGATGAATTTCAATCAATCAAACCACGACGTACAGCCCCGTACATGCACACAGGTGCAAAAATGGCTCGGCCCAGTAGTGCACCGCGGAGTCTGTCATTGACAGAGGAGCTAGAAAGGCTCGAACAGTCCATCACATTGACTCTCCAAGGTTAGCCAAGCACTGTCGGCTATGCAGCGGTCACGAGCTAACCTCGTAACCAGAGATCGACCATAACTTCAGCAAATCTCACCGCATTGTTACTACCAGTATCTTGCCATTGGTAGAACAATATGGCGAAAACTCTCGCGCAGTCTGGGAAGCTTCCAAGGTAATGCCTGCGTCTTGCATCCTGCTTTTTTTGGCCAGTCTAACTCGGATGTCGGGTGCAGTTTTGGAAGCAATTCTTCGAAGCGTCCGCAAATGTTTCGCTATCCGGATACGAGGAGCATAACAATGACGAAGAAGAAACTACTGCGGTGGAAGAGAGCACTGCGTTGAGAGACGATAGCGAGATGGACTATTCAAGAAGCCATGCCGAGGACAGCACTGCACTGCACGAACAACAGTCGAATTACCATGGCGAGGAAGAGTCGATGTTAGACGATGCTGAACTTACGGGGAGCACGCCTCGTCCACCGGCCACCAAAACTATGAGGACTCAAATTGCCAGTCTTGAATCACCATACGAAAACGTCAAACGGGAATTGCGAAGCGAAGAGGGACACACGACTGTGCTGGAAGATGACGATGATGAGGATTCAACAGTCCTCTTCGCCCAGAGAACCGCCCAGCTGCCTGACATTGCATTGACGCCTCGTAATGTATTGGCAGAGAAACACAACAAGGAGCACTCGGTTCTACGGAGTGGCAAAGACCCTATCCTCCACCGTGTCCTGGATAAACAGTACCGAATTCAATCAACGCCACATAGACCACCGCTGCGCATCTCTCCTCTGAAACAAGACGACAAGGGCAAAGGGAATGCTTCTGCCACTCCATCCTGGAAAGATGGTTCACCAATGTCATCTCCCGAGATGGCGGTGCCCAAGTTAAGAAGTGAAGCATTCATGTCGCCGTTCAAGAGCAACGCTCGGCAACGCCTGGCAAATGCGACCAGGGGACCGAGGACTCCCGGCGTCAGCGTTCAGACTCCAGGCGCGGCAAAGACCCGAGATGTGTTTGCAGATTTAGACACTACCGACCACAGCGAAGATCCGAAATACGAAATTGACTGGGATGTCGGAGACGCCGCCGATTCGGATGATATAGACTTGTATGCCGGAATGAGCCCTCCAAAGACGATCCAGTTTGCTCTGGCGCCCTCAAAACTGCTTCAGACTCCAGGTGAGCACTTTTTCTGTTATCATCCAAGGCGGATGGTCGTAGATTACTGACATTTCTATGCTCATTAGCCCGCGAAGCAAGCAAAAGGATTGTTGAAGACATCCTGCTAGATGCTGGAGTAGACCCAGAGTCTTCTGAATACAGTCCCACAATGGTCAAGATGAACGAAGATATTCTCAACGACAGTTTTTAATTGCACTATATAAGATCTATAGCCACACTGGACTCATACCCATGTTGATATCATCAAATACCCATCAAGTTATCTCTTGTCAGACAAGAACAAGACGGGGTTACATTAATCGCGCTTCAATGTCTCTCTCCCTTCCCACCAGGGAGAGAGACATCAACCGCGTTCTCATTAGAAGCCATGAATTTTCTGCCCCGGGCCATTCTTGCCAGGGCCACTTCAACTCGTCACGTTTATATACCAATTCTTGCCATCAACTCATAACATTCGTCATTTTCTGGGGTAGACACTCTTCAAATAGGATGAAGAGATTGTAACTCAAGCAATGCTTCAGGGACAACCAGCAACATCTAACGGGGTCCTTAGGCGAACTTGATCTGTGACTTGAGAGCCTTGTCCTTGATGTCTTGGACCGAGAACTTGGTACCGTTGCGTGTTGAGCTCTTGTTCTCTTGCCCGCTCTTCACATATGATGCAGCTGAGCTCATGGTGGAGATGGAGCCAGTCTCGGCGGCGTCGGCAGCCTTGGAAGCAGATTGGTTGTCGTTGCTGTTCATGATGGTGATGGTGTCGTGAAATAGTTCACAGAGTTGATTGAGTCTAAGCAGGCAGAGCATTGTCAGCTTGATTTTCTAAATATAATTCCAGCAAAGTAGATGTGCTAGGAGGATAATTATCCAGTTGATGTTTCACAAGATAGACATACTTGATTGTGAGTTGGGAGGTTTATGTCAGAAGACTTGAGCTGGAAGGTGTTGTTGTAGTGGTGTTATTGGATGGTTTGTTTGCTTGTTGGCCTGATTGTTCCTTTCCATCCTGAGGAAGAAAGACGGCATATTTATACAACAATCAACACTTAGGCAAAAGGCGGTTCGAATTTTATGACTACATACGCCGCAGCAGAACAGGTTACAACACCAACTACGAGGCTTCTCCACCACCTTCCTGACCGTTGACGCAAACCTACTTTCCAATCGGTGTCAGAATGAGGAAGAAGCGTACACTAGACGCTGCAGGGCTGAGCCGGTGATTGGCGTGAGTCACCCGGACCCGATAGTGTGAGTGCGCACTTGTGGGCAAATTTGATTGCAGGGGAAATGACGAAGAAGGCTACGTAGATTCGAGGACCTTAAGCCCAAATCGGCTCCGGCCTGACAAAGAATCAGATCTCCAACTGCAGAGCCCTACGCAAAGCCACCCCGCAGGGATGGTAACCCCTCCCGCGAAGCTTTCTCGATGGGGAAGGCCGAAAAGGCGGGTTCGGCTCTGTGGGGGGAAGACTTTGCGGACGGGTGCGTGTCCCGGGCAGCGATGGAGCGGATTTGCGCATCTGCCTGCGTCGTGAGACTCGTCATCACCGCCTGGGTTTGTGCGGTGTGGTAAGCAGAGTTGAACTGGTTTCTGGCTCAGATAGCTGAGCACCTCATCCCGCGCGCGCCTCGTCATCACAAATTACATCAATGTAAGTATGGCGAGTCTTTATCCAGTACCGGTCGTGGTAAATCTCATCTGCGCAATGCCTTAGCGTCAGCCGGCATAGGCGCTTCGATGCAGTGTCACATGGGCTGGTCGGCACACTCACGATTACTCATATTGAGTCGCTGCTGCTTTGCGGAATTGCATCGGCTAGCCGAGACATATCACATCCTGATGCATAGCTCTTCACAATAGGAGAGGGTGGGCAATGAGTCAAACAGCAAAGTGAATCCGGCCGAAAAGAAATGCACACATAGTCATAGTCGTTGACCGGGAGCATGAGAGCCACCGCCGTCACCGCCTGAGCTAGAATAGAGGCCTGTTTTCCCGGGCCAATATGCAGTCAATACATTTGTTTGCTTTGTTTTCTTTTGCTTCGCTGCAATAAACCGAGCCATACGTCACCGTACTAAATTACATCTAGCTGCTTGGCAAGGGAGACGGCACGATGATTGGGGTGTAGTGGCTACGATCACGGAATCCATCAACGGGTAGGGTCAGCACTAGAGCCGACGTAGCGATTGAACTTCTGGCGAACCATGGCCAAGATGTTACCAAGTGACCAGCAGTGTCCCGGGCTGATAACAGCCTGACCATGGCGAATGCAGCTTCTCGATGAAAGCGCCCCGATGTCAATGGTGCACACCCATCTAGATGCTGTCAGGTTGATCATGGTACCAATTAAGGGACTTACTCACAAAAGCACCAGGTATTGGGGGTTGGCACTGTCTCCAGCAGCCTGAAATGCGATGCTGTGAGATTGCGTGCAAGAAGCCGATCCCACTCTCCTGTCGTTTATCGCTAAGAGAGAAACACTGAAGAGCGGAAATTGAACATCACGCCTCCGACTCAAGCCTCCGACTTCACTGGTCAACTTAACATCCATCCGGGCGATCAGGGTCCACAAGATTCTATCAAGTACGCTAAAACAAGCCACGCCAGTTCAGCATGTCGATCCTCGCTCCAAGAAGCTCAAAGCTTAGCTTAGCTCCAACACCGCTTGACCGTTCCCAGCTGATGGCCTCACGACTTGGGCCAAAGCGGTCAGAATCAAGTGCCAACTGGGTGAGGCAAGCAGAGAAATAATGTGAATGGAACCCATCCAGATTGTTCAAGATGCCTGATGTAAATTATATAGAGCGCGGGCTGCTGCACTGCTGCCGAACTGGTCACTCACCACGCAGGACAACCTCTCACTCCTCCTCCAACTCCTCTATCTAATTCACAATGACTCGAGTCTGGACACTCATCTCGGCCTTCCTGGCGTTGGCAGCTGCGCAGGAGCCCGCAGCTATTTATGACGGTGGCCTTGGTGACGGTACCAATGGCACGATCGCTCTCCGCATTGGCAACGGCGGTGCCGGCCAGAGTGGTCTCGTCAAGGGTACGTATAAGTCGATTTCACCCAAACAACAATTTGAAATACCGTACTAACTTTCCCCAAGAGCTGGCCGATGCTTTTATCCAGGACAGCGTTGCCAATGGCAGCAAGCCCTTCACTGTCGCATGGGTCACAAGTGATACCACTTACAGCATCGAGTACCTGAAGCAGGGCTCCATCGACGTCGGCATCACCTACAACTTCGCCGCCGAGGATATCGCTGTCAAGCAGGGCATCGCCAAGAAGGAGATCTACTATGCCTTCCGCGACCACTTCCTCCTGGTTGGTCCCAAGGCCAACCCCGCCAACATCTCGCAGGGCGACGACATTAGCACCATCTTCTCCAACCTGCACAAGGCAGCTGAGGGTGCTGCCACCACCCCTCCCACCCGTTTCCTCTCCCGGTACGACAAGTCTGCTACCAACATCAAGGAGTCTCTCCTCTGGGCTGGCATTGGCCAGGTCCCCTGGGCCACCGCCTACTCCAAGTGGTACCACCAATACATTGGCTTCCCCATCCAGGCCCTAACTGCTGCCATTCTTCTCGAGGAGTACACCATCACCGACCGCGGCACTATCCTCTCCATCGATTCCGAGCTCCGCAACCAGACTGTCATCTACAAGGCTGGTTCCGACGACGCTACCGACCCTCTGCTGAACCCTGCTCGTCTGCTCATCGGCGAGAAGGCTCCCAACCCCGAGAAAGCTACTAAATTCGCCGAGTGGCTCGTCAGCGCCCGCGGCCAAAAGGTCATTACCAATTTCAAGAAAGATGGCCAACAGCTATACAGTAGCGCTCCTTGAAAGAAAGTAGATTGGTGGGCGCCTAATGGAATGGTTTCCCTGTTATGATATCCGGTACAAAGTCAGTTCAAAAGTCTATAAGCCTGTATTTAGTGCGTATTCTTAATGATAAAGGAGCGTTGTGTCATCCCATCAATGTGGTTGAAACTCGAGTTGACATGATGCCCAAGTAATGAAGTATAATCGGGCAGCTGATTTTTTTGCAAAGCTGTGACTATAGGCAAGTATTTGTAAGACCGTTTTAATGCATCAATTGAAGCTAGGAGTTTTCTTGCGAGACGAACTTAAATGTCTTGTCGATGGATGAAAACGTTGTTGGCTTTTCAGTGATTGGGACAACAGTAGAACTATATACATGTTGCTGAGTCATCTAACCTGTGCGCAGGTTAGCTGAGTCAGCAAACCAGACCGGCGGGAGTGCGTTCTACTACCTAGGTACCTACGAACTCTCGATGCTTCAGATTCCTGAGCTCGTAACAATGCAAGTATGTTCACCCTGCAATCCCGGATTCAAGCCTTAGGATGAACTGCGATACATAAGAGGATTGAGAGCCGGAATGTTCAACAGAACGCTTCCTCCTCTTGTTTTTGCTTAAGACGCAGGCTGATCTGATGAACAACAATAGACAGAATTCAACGCAATGGATAACGTGTTTTAGTGTAGCATTTATTTTGTCACTTACCGTCTTTACTGTGTAAGATGGTTGGCTGAAGTTTCTCAGAGCCCACATAAAATATTTCTCCATCAAGCTCCAGTCGAACTTATCGATAAGACGCTCCCAAAATTTTTGATGGCGGATACTCAGTCTCAGACGAATCTTCGCGCCGCCTCGAGGAATCATTGAACGACCATTGCTACCGTGCGAGCGAGCGACATCCACAGCCGCCCATCATGGAGCAACAAGTTCACAAACCCCACCGGAAATCGAAGGAGAAGAAGCCGGCGAAGCATACTGGAGGTACGCGCTTCCGCCCATCTCCAAGACCGCACCCCAATGCTGACAACCATTTCGCAGACAAGAATCCCAAGGCTTTTGCCTTTGCAAACCCTGGCAGACTTGCCCGCACAGCCGCCAGATCACAGGATGTAAGTTTGCCTCCCCTCTTCCCAGTCCGCGCACGGATCTTAGGCTCACCTCCCTCGTTTGCTGCCAGATCAAAGAGAAGCGCCTCCATGTGCCCCTCGTCGACCGATTGCCCGACGAGGCACCGCCTCGCCTCGTCGCCATTGTCGGGCCTCCTGGCGTCGGAAAGACGACTCTTCTCAAGTCCTTGATCCGCCGATACGCAAAGGAAACGATCACCGATCCCCAAGGCCCCATCACGGTCGTCACCTCGAAAAAGCAGCGCCTTACCTTCCTCGAGTGTCCCAATGAGCTAGAGGCCATGGTCGACGTCGCCAAGATCGCGGACATTGTCCTACTCATGATCGATGGCAACTATGGCTTCGAGATGGAGACGATGGAGTTCCTCAACATCCTGGCCGCCACCGGTATGCCTGGCAACGTCTTCGGCATCCTCACACATCTTGATCTGTTCCGGAAGCCCCAGGCGCTCAAGGACGCAAAGAAAAGGCTCAAGCGCAGATTATGGACCGAGCTGTACCAGGGCGCACATCTCTTCTATCTCTCCGGTGTGCTGAACGGCCGCTACCCCGACCGCGAGATCCACAACCTCTCTCGTTTCCTCTCCGTCATGAAGAATCCTCGCCCTCTGATTTGGAGAAACTCCCACCCATATTCTATCGTCGATAGCTTCCGGGACATCACCCATCCTACCAAGATCGAGGAGGACCCCAAGTGCGATCGATCCATCGTCTTATCTGGCTACCTCCGCGGAACCAATTTCTCTACCCAGGGCCAAAGAATCCATGTGCCTGGACTTGGCGACTTCACGGTTGCCAGCATGGAGGTCCTCCCTGATCCATGTCCAACCCCGTCGATGGAGCAGGCCATCGCAAAAATCACAGGAAAGACGGGTCGCCGTCGACTAGACGAGAAGGAGAAGAAGCTGCATGCACCCATGTCCGACCGAAGCGGGCTG